GGTTTTACAGACAAGGACTTGATTCTAAACCCGGATACTTCTGCTCGTAAAGGATTGGATTCTATTCGCGACCCTGGTGCAAACATAGGAACTGGTTTCCAGGAAACGGAGGAAAATAAGCATGTATCAATTGCTAAATATACCGAGGTGAACTGTATGCTTGCTGAGAATGAACTACAGAGTGGTGAATAAACTGTTTCAGATCTTCCTCTGGATGAAAAGTCTGAAAAGACTATATCTTCAGACTGTGATATGCAAAATGCATCCGAGAACTGCAGTGCAAAAGTACTTGACCCTGGTATAAATTAATGAAAAGACCGAGACTGAAATTTCTTCTTAATTTTAATTTGTATAATTTAAAATTGTTATGTGTTTAATTTGTCTGTATAACTTGTACATAGTGTAAATGCTTGTTTCTTTAGTTACGTTATTTGTTTGTTTTATTACGTTTTGTTTGGATCGAATTAGGCTTCTGACCAAGGGTTGTACTGCCCGGGACATGCAGTCCTTGGGAGGGGGCAAGTGTTTTTTACGAATGGGGTTCCAGCGCTGGTGAGATAGCTTCCCCAGCAAGCAGTTTTAGGGTTTTCCATAAAATGGGCAAGGGAAGGCATGGGGTTGCCATATTTGACAAGAAATCACCCATTTGGTGACCAAAATTGCGATATGCCATGAATGGAGATAAAAATCTTCTGGACAAATCTTACCTTTTAGCCGAAAGTTTCAAGAGCACCAGTCAAAAGCTATATAAACCCTGCTTGTCCGCATCATCAGTGTGTCTCTCTAAGCTAGTCAATCGAGTCTTTTTTTTTAGTTGACCGCCAGGCAGCGATACCAATTCGGTCGAGTGCAAAAACCGAAGAAGCTCGTAATGGTATGCGGTTAGTGCATTGTCCGACCGAGCGTGTTGAGCGCTCGGGAACGACTGAACCGAGAGTCGGGAGCTGTGCTCTGTAATGTTGTCGATTCATCGCTAGAGTTGTAGCTGGAGAGTCCCTCGAGAGTACGTGGAGTTCCAGAACGCATCAGAGTCGGGAGCTTGTACTCTGTGTTTGCCATAACTGTCTCCAACCGTGATAGCCTGATAACCTGGACGCTGTTGTCGCTGACACGTCCAGCATATTTATTTATAGTAGTTCATTGACGACAGTAAATACGTTTTTTGAGCTGTCGGCTGACAATATGGCCAATAAAGTGTGTTTCTACTTCATCAAGTAGTATTGTCATTATTCACTCCAAATCCTCACGAACCACGTACGAACGTGAAGGAAGAAAATAACGTAACAACTGGTGTCAGAAGAAAAACACAACAATATATTAAAATAACCTCTTAAATAGAAAAAATTTAATGCATATGATAACCTTCTACTTTTAAAATAAAAATATAAGTGACCTTACCTTGTTGACTTGTTCACAAGCATCTCGAAGCGAAACTCTTTTCCGCTCATCAAGTTCTCTGATGAAATCTTCAATTACTTTCTTGTCTTGTAACACAACTTCTTTTTTCTTCATAAGATTTTCAAACTGTAATGATGGTAAACATTAAACACTTAGTTTATTCATGTAATTTTTTATGTTATTTGTGTATCTATTTTTATTATATTTCTTTTTCCCTCTTAAATGAAATTTTCTGTTGAGATGACATTTAATTACATAATTTATCCCTTAAACTTATGATGTACCTCATTTTGGCATTATACTATCATCAGCTTTAAATATTTCTTTTGCTTCTTTTAAATTCAAATCAGATATAGTCCTTTTCCATAGCAATTTTGAATTAATTTCAGTTTTATAAAATGAGAATGAACTTTAAATTTATATGTATAAAAATTTTCTACTAGAGAAAAGTTATATAGAACAAAATTGAATTTTTATTTAAAGCTGCCCTCTTTAAGCAGAAGTCTACTTTATAGTTATAGAAAATTTAGCATATAAAATTCTTTAATAACACAGATTTTATTTACTTTTGAAGTTTTAATCTTCTATGATAAAGGAGAACTTCTTTATCATAGAAGTTCTATGATAAAGAAGAATGATCTACCTTGTGGTGTAGTGTTAATGCTTCAACGGTGTGGTGTTGAACTCCAGTGAAAATGCTAATGTTAGAACACAAAATGAAAATTTTATTTCATGCCCAAAAAATGGTTACATACCATCAACAACAGAAAAAACCTAAATCTTTTTCTTAAAATCAAATTTTATACATTTTACGTGAGGCAACGTGGCTCTCAAGCTTGCGTTTTAGCATGCCAGCAATTTATTATTAATAACACGATGAAACGTATTGGAAGCTAAATAATAATAATTTTCATCTTATGCTCACGAGACATCCTTGTCCATATTAATCTTCAGTTTCTTCTTCCTTTATGCGACCTTATCACAGCCTGATATTCATATACCAAAGTCCTGGATTTTTTTTTAATAATGTTTTTTTGCCCATTTTTTTATATTGGATCCTACATTTTTTTTAAACCTCTGGAATACTAAGACAAATCTAACATCAAGCAAAAAAAATTCCCAATATCACAAAACTGAAGTTTTCTTGCAGTTTTAACAATGTTCAAACTCAAATTCAGTGTTCGTGTCCAAAATGTTATGTCAACATTTAAACAAATTGCAGAATGAAATCAAAAGGAAGAGGTGAAGGATCATCTTCATCAAGTCAATAAAAAATTCTTGTTTATAGTATATAGCAGGGTTGGCCAAACTTCATGTCAGGAAGAGCCACACGTTTGAATACAGAAATGTTCGAGAGCCGTATCTATATTTTCTAAAAGCCACAAGTTCATATTTATATCTTTATACAAGTAGTGGAGGAGGTTTTAAATAAAAAGAAATCCTTGATAACTTTGTACAATATTTCAAATTTATTTCTAAAATAATAGCAAAATACATGAAAATCAATATATTCTGAAAGCAAAAATATCAAAAAAGGGAAGAAAAAGAAAAAAATTAATAACTGTCAAAACCATATAATCTGGTTTCACAATTCACTACTTACGGGAATGCTAGTGCAATTATTTATAATTTTTATAAGCTGAACAATATGAAAAAATGAACAAAACAGAAATGAACATGCAGGCGTGCATATACAATGTTTCGGCAAAACATTTAATTGGTTATAAAGATCACTCACTATATCCCTTCAACTGGACTAGCCTTAATTGATCTGTATCGATAAGGCAAGCTTCAGACCACTTTGTGAAAATACTAACAACCAATGATCAGCAACTCCTAAGCTTCAGTTTCCTTGGAAATATTTTACTCACTCTTTCGGGTATCATGTTTTCAAGATTACCTTATGTTCAGCTGTTTTCATCTGAAGAAAGAGATCCATACCACTTAAAAAAGGGCTTAGTAACAGATCCTATTCATATTGTTTCCCAAATTTAACCTGTGCAATCATTTATCTATGGCTCATTTAAAAAATGAAAGGTAGCCATAATGTAATACCGACATAAGTACATATCTACTCCCTAAAACTGGTTACAAAACTCGGTACTTTTCTGTTTTGCCAGCACAGGCGATAAAGTCGCCAATAATGGTGCAACCAATGCCAAACAGAATATCCTTGCTGATAACCTTTTACACCTCATTTTCAAAACAAGTTGCAGCCATTTCTTATCAGATTGATACTTTCAATACTGGCATACAATTATGTATAATTTTATGACCCAAGGCCATTTGCAGTAATTAAGTTAATTAGAACACCGCTCACCCGGAAATATAGAAAAGGCAAAGTCAAGGGTTAAATTCATCAATTCTAATGAGAATGCCCTAGCGAAGTAAAGCACTGTGTTTTACACAACTTCTGAGTAGCTATCTACGAATTAAAATAATTTTTGCATTTAACTTGTATTCCAAAATAAGATCACTTGATTAATGTAGATAATTACTGAGAGAATTAGATTTTTGTAGCGTAGTTTACGTGAGATGAGATAACTTGAGGTCCCGTGATATGAGCACGAATCAGATGTTGTAGCATGAAACATAGTAAATTTGAATTAAGTCTTTTTACAAATTTATGTCTTTCTTTATGGTTTTTTACAAACTTTTAAATGATATTAAAATGTTTATGCCTTCAAAATAAAAATTTCTTAGAACTAACATTTGTTAACATTTTTTATGTGTTGTTAACATTGTTGTTTGTTAAAATTTTTTTATGTATGTTGTCGCCAATACAGTCTGCTTGTCGAGATTTGCGCCGGTGAAACAGAAAAGTACCGAAAACTCTTAACTTCTTCTTTTTAACACAAACCAACTTGGGAATAGTTAACAGAAAATTTTAAGAAACTTCCATACCTTTCACTCTGGATTAGAGTTTTCAGAAACACAATGTCCCACACCTGCTTTTAAAATGAAATCTAAGAACAATTAAAATATACTAAAAATGAGTCAAAAATTGCATAATTACTTGTTCTTCAACAGATGATAACATGTTCTGTGCTCGCATATTGACACACTTGTGTAATTTTTCTTTTGTTTGTTCCAGTTTTTTCAGTCGTTCACTCAGCCCTCTCAAATCAAAATTCTGAAAGTCAAATTCTGAATTCGGGACACCAAAATATTTCTTCTGTCCTTCAATCCACTTATGTTTTTCCAAGAGATGTTTAAGCTGAAGAAAAATATAACAAGCTTTTCAAACAGTAGGAATAAATAAACTCAAATAACAGGAATGTTTCAAATATATATAGAAATTATTTATGATGGTCACCATTTACTTTGCTTCAAAATATGGAACATATTTTGCTTATAGCAGTGAAAGATAGATTTTATTTTTTTAAAGCTATTTCACAAATTTATGGTCCCAGCACACAACAGGATTTTTACTCAATAACAGAAATAAAATTAATCTGTTTAGATAATTATTTCATGAAACTTAATTTGTTGATAATTTCATATGTTTAACTACAAAAAATGCAGCAATTATTTTAATTATAACATAAAATGCTGTCATTCTTACACATAGCAGCATTCAAGCAACTCAGCATGCATCTAAGTTCTAATTGTAGTTTTGTAACTATGGTGCAGCTCAGCCCATTTCACAAAAGCTCTCTTTCTCTTTATTAATTAAAACTTTAAAAAATTATAAAAAATCTGAAAGCATTCAGATTTTGTATTACACCTACTGAAGATTTTTTTTAACATTTTGTGTTACCTTCATTTATTAAATAACATGTTCTTCGCACTTAAACCATAAAATTCAATTCAGCAGCAATAGCAGCAATATCACAAAATATTTAAAAAGAGCATATCTTTATAATTTCTGACACACAGTCTCGTGCAGTTGCAACAATCTGAAAAGTGAAAGGCCGTTTTATAGTGAACGATGCAAAATGCCAAAACGAAATTCTAGGCACATTTCCCTTTGGGCTAAAAAAATGCAATTAGCATATCCATCCACCATATCCAAATAACCTTCGACCTATTTACTGTGTAAAAATCATTACACATTTTGGACCAGGAAACATGAAAAACCCTTGCTAGAATTTTGAACCACAAATCTTCCAGTTGCTAGCTGGATGTACTAACCACTTTCAGCATGAAAAGGTACAACATATACCTTAATTTTCCCTCATTTAAATGGCAATAGGGGGAGATTCGTAACACTTAGTCGATCAGACTCAGATAATGATGAATTATTATGCACAACTTTTAAATTTTGGTGATACCATAACAATCAATAAATGTCTTTGGAATATGAAAAATCAACTGTGCTTATGCTAGGATACAGACGATGGATCTTCCATTCGCCAGCTAGGTATGTTAACCATTTACACCATACATAGGCGAAAGCAGTAATTTCTTCCAACTATTGATATATAAGTGCACATACATGATATGTTGCACAAAAATGTCTTATGAAAAAGCAGGAATGCACAATAAAAAATTATCTTTAAATGATTTGAAGAATACAGCAAAATAGCATCACTGTTTTTAATTGATTTTGCAATGTAAAATCTTTTGAGAAGGGAGAAAACATATTTAATGTAAATAATTCTTATATATATAAAACAAATTAAAAACTGGGCTTAAAAGAGTACACAGTAATATAATATTAAAATTATACAGCGATCTAACAGAAAAAGGGATAAACATTTTTCTTAAAATAGCAGCACAAGTACATAATATGCAACAAAAAATAGCAATACAGATTAATCACATATATAAAATGGAAAGTTATCGTTTTGTAAATTTTAACTTGAAAAATTGTTTTCTCAGAGAGCTAATTAAAGCACAAATTCTTAAAACCAAAAGATTTTAATGTATACGAAATACTGAAATACAGCATCACCGGGCCACACTATAAAGACAGCAATTTTAATTTCTGTTTTATTGTTAATTATTTTCGTGGTGGCATTTACTTCAAAATAAACTGTGTGATCAAAACAATTTTAATGTGCAAACGAAAATAATTAAAAAAAATCATTATGTATTTAAAAATTTTAAAGTTTTATTTTAAAAATTGTTTTAGCTAATGCATAATCATTTACGCTTATCTATTTTTTCATTGTTTTTATAGTCTCCTCATATGCTGAGGGAGTAATAACATTCCTTCAAGGTTTTAATCATCAATACATCATACTTATTCTAAATACCATATCTAGACAAAACTAATAAGATTTAATTTTCAAAAAATAACAAAAACATTACATTACAAATGCAAGGCAACTTTGTATATTAGAAAAGATACCTTCTGTTGGGCATCCACAGCTTTATCACCACAATTTTTAATGTCATGTTCCAGCTGTTGCATTTGCAGTTCAGCTTGAGATATTTGTTTCATCATAGACTCTTTTTCTTTAGTTATTTTGCTTATTTCACTACTGTGTGATTTCATAACTGCTTTTTGAGTTTTGACTTGCTCAGTAATCAATGATACAGATTCCTGAAAAAATAATGAATTATTATTAATACAGTATAATGATACGATACAAATTTTCAGTTAAATCTCAATTATCTAAAACAGTGATCTACAAACTCTTTTGATTGTGAACTCATAAGACAAAAATAATTATAAGTTGTACCCCATATAATACCACTTATAAAAATGGGGTACAACTTATAACAATATACAGTGGTTCACATTTATTTTTGCTCCTTTGCATTTTTCAGCTTTCTTTGTAAATATGAGTTATTAAATATTAGTAAAATGACTTTATTATTTTTTTACATATACTATTGATTTTGTATTCGAAAATCTGCTTGTTTTTAAAAAAAGTTATTAAAAATATTTTTGGTAAAAAAAATTATTTAAAAAGGTTCTGAAAATGAACTTAACATAAGTATTCAGACACTTTGATTTAACAGTTTATATTTAATAAAAACATGAAAATATGAGATATTCAATATTTTGTTGGATATTCTTTAGCTAAATTTACACTTTTCATGTACTCTGGCAATAATTCAATTAGTCTTTTTGTGTAAGAATGTTCCATTAAAATAAATAAAAGCCATTCTTACATAAGAATGGCTTTTATTAGTTTTCAAAGGAATATCACGTTCCTTTAATCTTTTCTCCAATTCACTTCATACATGATCCAAAGGATTAAAGTCCAAGAATATGGAGAAGTTTTGATAACTTCTACAAATAATCAGGGCTGTGGAGTCAGAAGGGAAAAATGACTGACTCCGACTCCTGGAATTTTAAAGACTTCGACTCCCTCATATATATATATAAGTATATATATATATTGTGTGTGTGTACAACCTATACACATGGTTTTGCAGCTTTATTTTTTTTAATAGAAAAGAATAATAGATGCTACAAAAAAAAAAAATGCTGGCCATGGCAATTATTTATATTAGTTAGCAATTTTAATGAAATGGAAAAACGGGCATTAGTTTTCTAAGAAACAGTATAGCTACAGCACGACTTTCTTTGTTGGAGGGCCATAATAGATCCAATTTGATAAACTTCAGAGCTGAGGAGATTCTTTCCACACTAACTTAAGTAGGAGGAAGAGCTGTTACTGTTAGGTCTACTTCTTTTAACTTTTCAGGATAGAATTTTTATAAGTTCTAAAAGAGGTGCCTTGCAAGCACAATCATATTTCTCTAGTTCTTCAAAGGCCGTGTAGAAATCTTGTTTGTATTTTTTCATTTTTATATCTAAAGGCTCTTGGTTCTTCATTTTCATTCGCTTTGCCTTAGCCTTTTCAATATTTACAAAATATTTCCTCAAAATCTGATTCATCTTTGGAAGAGGATGATAGAGGCTCAACTGCAAATTCCTGCAGTTTGAACTGTCCTGATTCGAATCTCCAGTTTTTCGGAAATAATTTCATTCTTAATAAAGTTCATAGATGGCTGTCTTTGTATTTTTACTTTGGTTGTTTCAATCATCGAAGAAAATATGGTGTTTTGGATCTACATATACTGAACCCAGCAAGATCTCATTGTCTAGAGGCAAATAGTTTATCTTTTCTTCAATTGAAGAAATGATTCCTTCTGCAATACACCTCCCATTTCAGAAAAAACAAACTCACATTCTTCCATTCTTGCAACCTGGTATTCTTTATTCTTCCGATTGCCGCCGCTTTTTTTGTGGCTATATAACTATGTAGAAGAAGAGTTTCCAATTCTGCAAGATCATTCCATATCCTTTCTGTAGTGCAAATTGGGTTATCTATATCTTCCTAAAAAAGTTCTTAATTATACCACAACCTCTTTTATCATCAATATGTACTTCCTATCATGTTTCTTGATCTATAGCTGCTCTTTTTCCTGCTCGTTCTAAGAATGGCATCAATTTTGGGAGTTCTTGCTCTATTGCTGCCTTACCACCCCTAAATGTTAACCAGTGAGATTTGTACTAATGAATATTTTAAATCACTATGGCAATATCGCATCTATCTTCTTCCTTTTTTATATTTATTTATTAATATGTCAATAAAATAGAAACTATTTATTAATGTTTATAGTCCATATATAAAAATAATAACTCAGCTTGTCATTGATTTTTTTTCAATTCATTTTAATTTCATTTCAAATTCAAACTGTCCAACAAAAACCGGAGTAGGAGTCGACCTGTTTTTAGCGACTCCAGCTCCACAGCACTGAAAATAACCACAAGTGAACATTTAGGGCAGTATAATAAAGATCGTTATTCTGATAGAACTTGAATGTATTTTGAATTCCAAGTTTTCTTGCAGATGCTTTTAGGTTTTCATTTAAAAAATTTAAATATTTATACTAATCCATATTATTTTTTTACATACAGTAGATTTCTTATTTCAAAGGCAACAATGCCCAAATTATTACGCCTCTACCACTAAACATAATATTAAGCAACATGTTTTTCAAATTCAGTTCTTAATAAAGATTTTGACACATATTAATTAGTCTATTGCACAAAAATATATCAAACCTTTTAACTTTTTGACTTTTCTGAAAACATAACATTATTCCAGTATGAATAAAACTTTGTTTACTATAGATTTTTTTTAACACTTTCCTCGTTTCTTGCTGACGAAAATTTTCCATCTTGCTGATCACCCACTGTATCCCATTTTATCATATAAAACATAATTAAATGCTTTATATCAAGTATTTTTGGATGTTTTCAACACTTTTACCACCTTTAAAAAGATAACTTATTATATTTTTAACAGATCTAGTCATTAATTTGAAACATCTTGCCATGTTCATTTCAGATATAACTGTTAATCAGATCACTTTTAATATATTGTGTTAAACAAGTAAAAATTTCTAAATGCAGAAGATAAACATTGTGATGAATTTTCATTTAAAACAAAAAAATTATAACAAGAAATATTGTCTACCAAAAACTTTTGAATAAAATTTATAGTTTTTAAATACTTGTGTGAGTTACTGATTAACACTTTTTTGAATAAATTTTTCATTACAAGGAATATTTTTTATATTTATTTTACAACAAGCATGGCTTAAAATAAATAAAAAACAATAATATATTAGAAAAAAAATTGAAGTCTCTGTCTGAATATTTAGTATAAGATCTATATAAATAAATTTCAAAAATACAAGTGTCTGAAAATAAATGCGAGCCACTGTAATATAATACCTTCTTTAAAGCGCATGTACATGAAGAACATAGTTTCTTCTTGAATATTCAGAGGTAGCTTCCCTCCAAAGTATTGCTTCCCATAAGTTTTTCTGATATCCTCCCCCCCCAAAAAAAAATTAAAGTAGGTGTGTTTATGATGTTAAGCTACCCCCCCCCAAACATTGGTGCAACCAGACACATTGACCAATGACAGAACCTCATACTCACCGTCACGCACAATCATGCACTCACAGGTGATTGTGGCCTGCTTCTTTTGCACACCACCAAATATCACTCTGCATACTCACTCATTCTTTGCTGATCCCAGATCTAACGAAAAATACATGAAATCTTTTAGTCTTAGTTCAACTAGACCTTTAGAACCCTTAGAAAATAACACAGAGTCTTGTTGTTGTTGCTCATGATCACTTATGACATAGTTACGAAAGTCTACGAAATTCGTGATTATGCCTGTCATTGGCAACAGCTTTGAGAAACCAACAGGGTGGGTCCAGTTGCGATTTGGCTCAAAATGATGATAGTGGCTGGCCGCGGGGGAGGGACAGCAGCCTTGTGATGTGAAGGATGCGCTGCTCAGTCGGGGTTTTGGATTGAGTCGTCTGTAGGGGTGTTCTCTGGGTCTATACATTGGGTCTGAGGGGGGCAGAGTGGTGATATCCGCTATCAATAACTCGTTATGTTTCTTCTCTCCGACTCACCACTAGAGAGGACTATAAGCCACACACATACTCGCCGGATAGTGTGATCGATTTGGAGATACAGACTCATAAAAATATCATATAAAAAAGTTGTAAATGGCTCTAGTTAGAACGAGGTGTGTCGCCGTGGCATGTCGACGTCAGCGTAGCAGAACGGGATTGATACGAGGACAAACACGTATGTGTCCGTCTCGGATTTCCTGTCTGTCGTAGAAAAGCAGGAGCAATGGGTTCGCGCTTCGTTGTACCAATGGCACAATATCGTCTAAAATGCTTTGCTAGGCACCACCAAAGAACAGCTCAGAGCCGTTTGGAGGTATTAACTGTCACCCAGTGGTACTGCTCACATAACCGTTTGGTGCGGCAAAGGAGTGTGTCAGGACACTAAGGACCTTGGTAACATTAGGTGACAGTTGGCAGGGAGAGGGTCTTATCAGTAGCCGACGAGAGCGAGAGTCTGCGTCACTGACATGCGAACTAGGAGGAGCTAAATCCATCGGAAAGAATGAGGGGTAGAAAGGGCACAGAAAGCGGAAATAGATCAGAGAACACAGAGGGGCAAGATAACAACCAAAAAATTAAAGAAAAAGCAGGAGGCAGGGGAAAAGAATGGTGGAGAGGCATGAAGAAAATTTGCTCGCAGGGATAAAGAGGAAGGACTATTTTGAGAATAACAAGAGGTCAGGACGGGTAATAAGAAAAAAGGGGAAAAAACGGAATAAGAGAAGGGAAATAAAACGAAAAAGTACATAAAAACAAAAGAAGAAAGGAATTAATAGGGAAGAAAGAGTAGCGGCACGATAGAGAAAATGAGATCAAACAAACGGTGAAATCCGCAGTAACAAAGAGGTTAAAGACTATCCCGAATAAATTATGCATAGCATGGAAAGCAGAGAATAAAGGAAAAAGAAGGTGGATACTACAAAGCAAACAAAGACATAGGGGTTGGAGGCACTGAAAACAAGGGGAAATATTCTGAGATCTGAATGGCGCGTGAATAGGTACATATTACAACAGAAGACAGGGATGTAAAAAATTTGTAAGTGCGTGTTGGAGTGTAATCATGTACAAGTAAAACATATTTTAAAGGACAACTACAATGCGTGTGACAAGTTTAGGGAGTGAAGTGTTATTAGGTATGAGCACATATGATCCATAGCATAGGCTCAATAATATGTGAGAACAATGGGGGTACACGTGATGAGGGGTGGCGGCAAAGGGCACAATATATGGACAACTTGAAGTCACGAGTCATGATCAAATTTAATTGCTCAGCTGTCTTGGTGTGAGAAAACGGCGTCTTAGGAGGAGGGACAGACAGTTTCATAGGAAGGGATTGGGGCGCGAGCGCTGTAAAAGACAGCTGGCGGCAGGCAGGTGCGCTGGATTAGAAGGTGGTAAAGTAGATAGAAGGGGGTAATAATATACAAGGGTCGGGGTGGCATAATGCAAATGACATATATCTGACAAAGAGAGAGGGGGGGGGAAGGTTCGAGGCAGTTGGGGGTAGGATCGAGATGTGGTGGTTCTAAAAAAGACCGAGTGGCTGGCGCTCTACGGCAACAGTGCGGCCAACGGGGGTGCCCATGCGGCAGTACGTGACGACGAGGCGCTATCGGGGCGGCAGAAAGGCGGGAGCCTGCAATGATGCCTTCAATTTCAAGCTTTAGGCCATTTACTTCCTAGATTTAAAAAAAAAAAAAAAAAAAAACCCACTATGGAGATAACGTATATATAAAACAAAATGAAGTATAAAATTCTAAAACTGCTTAACACTTCTTTATTCATAACACTGCAATGAGCAGTGCATGAATGTAATACAACAAATTAATGAATTTGGAACAGATAAAACAGCTAAAAATAAATATAAAATTACCATATAATATAATTCAGAAACAGCAAAACATATTAATCCCTTTCTGTGAATGTTTATGCCAATAAAATTTATTCTTATGTTAATAAACTTTGACACTTGTTCATTTCCTTAACACAACTACTATTAGATAACTTTAACTTCAATTATTAAAATATTTTCACTAATCATTAAAAACTATTTCTAATACATTTTGGTACCAGTCATGAAAGAATACCAGAATCTTTCATAATCAAATTATTAGAATTATTTTCTGGTGTAAAGGAAACAGAATGAAATTCACCAGAAGACTTTGTTATTCAATATTAATGAAAGTTTGTGTCATAGCTTATAGTACCAAATTGCTAAATTGTAAAATGAACATATGCAATATAACTGCTCTTAAAAATTAGAAAATTTGGCCAACTATGAAAATTTAATTGACATCAGCTAATGGAAGTTTATATTATTGCATTTGAAGTTTATTCCTCTCCATAAGGTAATAAACTGCCTATTTCTCTAAGCTCTTTATATGGTTGCTTAACAAAACAACTCTGCACACAAACACTTTAAATTACAAGAAAACACACAAGCAACAATTATGGCTTAAATAAAGGTTAAGCACTTCACGGAAGGAAGAAATGCCCCATTTGTTCGTTATTATGTAATTTCATATCTCGTAAGTTATATGTAACAACAACAGTGATTCACTGCATATAGTATCCTATGAATAGTTCTGAATTCAGAACCTGAGCTTATCAAGGTATAAAAAAAGGTTATCAAGGTATTTAAAAATTGATTCGACACAGAAACAGGAAGGGTACATATTCATATCAGACAAAATTTGCCCAGAGCAGGGGTTCTCCACTGGTGGTACGCAAGAGAAAAATAGGTGGTATGCAAGGAAGCAAAGTATTTTTAACCATTAAATTCAAAAATTAAAACCCCCAACATCATGATTGAGTTTTTTTCTCTAACACTTGTAAATTTATGTGATCTGAGCTTTTTTCAAAAGTGGTGGTACTAAAGGTTTTAAATTTTTGTTTAGACAGTACGTTTTGGTCAAAAGGTTAAGAACCGCTGGCCTAGAGTATATACTGAAAATGACACCCTTCCAACTCAATCAATGTATTATCTATATATTTCATGTCCCAAAGAACCCTTAAAAACCTTTCTGATTAGTAGATGTTATATTCATTTTCAGCTTTAACAATGTATATTTTATGTACATAATCAGTTTTAAGCATCTTCACAAGCACAATTCCTCATGTGGCTGTAAACAGATACCATATAACAGCGGGAATGATTAGATACAATTTGAGGGTTATGGGGGAAAAAAAACCTGCTCTAGTAAGTTTACTGTGAAATCTTCTGCATGACATGTCACACCACCTTGTTATTCCCAAAAACTGATGCTCATCCTCTTGCAATAAAGAAATAAATATCTAGACAGTATTTTGATAGGTCTCTGTGTTCATCGCTGTTTCAAAGAACAGAGCCAATTTATTCTTCGCCTTGATGTTGCATACCAGACACCAAGTTTTGCAAGCTTTTAAATGAAAGCTAATAAAGAAATAATTAAGTACGGTGAATTTTTTTTAACCTTGAATAAGAAATATTTAATTTTAATCCTTGGAATCCATTGTTAATTTTTACTAATTTCTTCTGTTACTTTAAAAAATATTATCATATATATGAAAACATAAAGGCAATATAAAATGAAATATATTTTCCACCCCCAAAAGTATGGATTGAACTTGTGCAGCTCTGCAATCCATTCTATCTGCAGACGGACATAAGATTTTTTTATGAAATAAATGTCATTGTTTAAATAATTATTTATATTTCTGAAATTTTTGCAGGTATTTATGAATTGAAGTAGAAGTGAAGTAGTATGGTTATTTTTTATTGCACCCACATGATTACCTCACTATTTCCAATTAAATAAAAAAACACATATTAGGAAACTCGTTCTTAAAATATAAAATATTTTCAAATATAAGAAAGCATACTGTAAAGACATAAGAATGTTATAAGAATTTTTGTTTTCTACACGCACATAAGCAGTTAGACTTTTTATGTGGTTCTGGGTGTGTGGGAGGAGACATGACAATGTTCAGAAATGTTCTTTTCAGCCAAGCCTTACCCTATGAGAAGCACACATTCCACTGTGCTGCAAGCACAAATGGGTCAGATTTAGCCATTCACCAATCATCTGATAATTGAGTTCCTTTTTTTAACAATTTATTTACTGTTTCAGCATATAAGTAAGTTTTAGTTCAGTATCACATCCCCAGTCAAATCCAGTAGAAGATTTCATGGGTTTATCAAAATACTATTATGGACACAGTGCTTAAATTTGGGAGCATCATGATAGCATCACTTAACCCTGCATGTTTGTTGGCATTCAGAACAGAAATGCGCAATTTTAACAAGTTTTCCCCAGTGGAGTTAGTGATGGATAGAAATCTGAGGACACCAGAAGTTCTACTATCTGAGCACTGGACTCAGCCACAAGAACAGGAGAATAGGAAGAAGAGAGTATTTTCTGTGATTCACCTGCCACATATTTTGACGTTTTTTAATCATAAACAACTTCTAGTTATAAAAATAGTTTATAAGTGATGCACAAACACATTACTTTTCTGTAATGCATACACATATATATGGCAAAAAGTGTGCAGGGGTATAAGGGAAAAGCACCAAATGTTGTTACCATGCATGTGTTTGATATCATCAAACACTTGAGAATCTCTTGAGATTTAGCAGTATAGAAAATGGTGGTTATGCAAACGAAATGCAAAGTCTGGTATGACTATAATGTGGTCAAGTATAAATTTAAAGAAGGTGACAGGGTGCTGATCTCAGTTTTCATGTGAACCAATAAACTCGCAAGGCACTGGAAGTGCTCAGGTATCATACAATCAAAGTTATCAGACTAATAATGTCACGAGATTAGAAGAGGATCTCAAGTTCATAACATTAACATGTCGAAATCCTACTATCAAAGTCTTAATGGCTGTAAATCTTCTGATATGGAAAGATCATAAGGGAAAAAAAGGAGATCCGGATTGAGATGTACCATCACTGAGATATCAGATGGAAATATTCGATATTGAGGAAGGTGAGGAGAACAGCGCTTTGGAAAATAGGCTGTTAGAAGCTGAGATAAATCAGCTAAAGACGTTATTAAGACATTATGCCAGTGTTTCCTCTAATAACTCTAGAGCTTTGGAAAATAAGCTGTCAGATGCTGAGATAAATCAGCTAAAGACATTATTAAAGACATTATGCCAGTGTTTTCTCTAATACCTCTAGAGTTATCCCTTTTCTAGAACTTGATCTTGAGTTAATGTCAACAAAACCAGTCAAAGTCAAATTGTATAAGGTCATTTCAAAGGGAAAACAAGTTCCTCAAAAAAGAAATAGAGAATACGCTCAGGCTTAAAGTGATCAAAATAGGCAAATCAGATTATGCTTCACCTATGATCTTAATAGAGTCCCTGAAAGTGATTCGAGACCCAGTGTATATTACTGGAATTTGAACTTCGATTTGGACCTAATTTTTCTTTTTGCCAAATATTGAAAAACACATAGAATAGGTACCTCCACTACCAGGTATATAATAGTACTGTATCTAGCAAAAAGAGATTGGCAAATTCTGTTGAGTGAAAGAAGCTGCATTTGTGAGATCCTTTGGGAGCTATCAGCAAATTTGGATGCCTTTCGGTTTGAAAAATGTACCTTACTTCTTTAGTAAATTGATGAAAGAATTATTGAAGGGATGTGAAAATTTTGCTGTCCTTTATCTCAACAATGTTGCAATTTTTTTAATCGAAATGTGAGGAATATTTGAAGCACATGACTGAGGTTTTAGAGAGATTTTGCTCAGCTCAAGTAAAAATCAACCTAAGCGTAAGTTTGCACAAGATAGCATGCGATATGTCAAGCAGAAAGTTAGGGTCGAATTAGATCTCCATCTGATGCTAAAATGAATTTCAACCACAACTTTCTGAGACCAAGGAAAAAGACCTAAATGTGTGCATTCCTAGGGCTCACCAGCTACTACAACCACTATGCGAAAGATTATTCCAAGATAACACTTTGTTTTCAGAAAGGCTATGAAGGGAGAGATTTCCTGAGATGAAAGATGTGAGAGAAGCACTCGCAGATTTTAAAAGTAAGTTAATGAGTCAACTACTTTTCATGCACCTGATTTTCAGAAAAAATTTGTAATGCAATGGGACACATCAGACATGGCTTTAGAACTTATTTTATCATAACGAACCAATGGTGAAGAGCATACCGTGCTGTATCTTAGTAAAAAATTCAGTTCTGTAGAGAGAAAATATGAATGACTGAATAAGAGTGTGTGGCCATAATATATGCCCTAAAAAAAATCTACGTTTCGCCTTATCGACTCGCCTTTTGTAATCCAAACGGAACTTCAACCTTTCATGTAGCTAAATTCTCCTTCAAGTGCAGATCTGAGGTTATTAAAATGGCCTCTCTATTTCCAACAATTTGATTACAAAACTGAACCCAGACCAGGATGCAAAAATAAAAATGCAGATGCACTTAGCTACATAGAGTTAGTGGCAAATTACCAATAGAATCATGACTAAGAAGTTAGTGAATTAATTGCTTTAGTGAATTTTTTAACACTTTTATTGTATGTAAAATATTCAATATGATAAGTAAATGTGTTAATACAATGTTAAATTCTTAAAGGTAGTTACAATATTGTGAATTCAGTACCTATTGTAAAATGTGTATTGTCTAAAATTTCAAAAGTACCCTATGCAACAAGCTGAATTTAGAAATGTATAAATATAACTTGACTGAAACTCAGAAATTTACCAGATTTTCAGCTTCTAAGTCACAGACAGTTAAAACTGTTAGCTAGCTGGATTAGAAATTTTTTTATTTTTAAATTCTTGCCTCCAGGTTGTTAAGAAAGAGGACTCTAGTGCATTGTATTGTTGTATATGTTTCATTGTGACAAGTGCTTTGCTTAATAATTGATTAAGCCAAACTGTTCTGAAGCTCCCCTTCCATAAAAACTTATCTTGCTGAGGAGATCCTGTAAAGACAGTTTACTTACATGTATTCTACATGCATATAGGCAGTTAGGCTTAGACTTTCCATATGGTTCTAGGGGGGGGGTAAAAAAAACACATAGTGAATGTTTCTTCTAGCGAAGTCTTCTCCCATGGGAGTTTGCAGATGAATTAATGAATCTAGTGTGCACATTCCATTGCGCTATGATCATAAAAGGAATGCATTCACCAGACAAGAGTGACTTTTTTCACTTTTTGAGAAAACAGTTTGCCTTGCAGAAACATTCCTGGGAGCTGTGTAAGACGGACAGTGTGATAATGACATCTCTTTGATTTTGATTGTAAATAGTTTTTCACATGTATTTTAATCCAGAAATAAAGGTTTTTCACGCCTTAAACTCCACAGTCTGGACTTTCGTGACAGTCTGCTATTTTATAATAGATATAGTAAAATATTTGATTGAAAAAAAAGGGGGGAGAAAAGCTTACTCCTTGTGCAGAATTGTACTTCTCTAAGGAAGCTACAGCTTTCTTTTTGCAGTTAGCAACAGCTTTTTCAGCTTCCTTGACTTTAGTTTCTCGTGCAGATTTTGATGAGGTTGACTCTAATTTCTTTATAAGTTTTTCAGCACTTTTTTGTTTCTCTTTACAAGCAGATAAACGAGCATGCTGTTCCTCTGGAAAAAAAAAAAAAAAAAAATTACAGTTAAATAATCCTCTGAACTAGTAGTTATTACAGATTCATTCAAAATGTGTTAATAATTTAAAAGGCTATTCTCTATATTTAGTAGAGTAAAAGCTGAATAATAGGATTCCCTAATTAATTACAAAGCTTCAATGTACCAATGGCTAAATGTATTAAAATAAAATATCTCCAAGAAATTTTACAGAAAATAAACAAAAACAGAAATGAGAAATCTATATATTGAATTTTCCCTGTATACTCTGACTTGGTCTTTGGGTACTGCTAACATGCCTCAAAAACAGTTTTGAAAAGACTGGACTAGTTTATTTTATCTAAGCGAAGTACATATAGCTATCTGCCTAAACTACAACCTTATTTTGACTAACCCCCCTTAAGAGAGGATGGAATCTGAAGATCTCATACCACTTTCCTCTATCTCCAACATCTTGAGAGGTCTTCCAATTCAACAGATTCTGTGTGTCTTACATGCCACAAAGACCTTATAGTAACAAATATTCATGCCCTAGTCAGAATTCAAGCACAAATCCAACAAGGGAATCAGATTGCATTAATCAGCAAACCATTTTGGGCAACAGTTCTAGGCAGAGTAAAATATTACAAGAACTGAAATTTCTAAACAAAATTATGGGGGGAGGATAAATCTCTTTCGCTACAACTACCACATTTTTAAGAAGAAAATAGACGATGAAAAAAACAACCACAGGAATTCTAAATCATTCAATATATTTCTACAGATAAAATAGAACTTAAAAACAAATTTACAGATGCATTTTATTTGATCAATTAAAATTGGCAAATGATGAGAACAGTGGGCCCATAACACTTAGTTGACATGTCAGTTAGCTAACATGGAATTTAGCGACACAGACACTTAGCCAAAGCAGGTTAAACTGATAGCTGTTTAGCTGACAATATGTATATTTAAATAAAATCATGCGATAATGTTTCAGCAAAATTTGTGTATTTTTATCCAACAGCTATTTAATCTTTCTGTCAATTACAAAATTGTTTCAATTTTTAAGTTCAACTTTCAAGTAGTTTTTCATTTATCAGTAAGATCTGTCCTTTAATTCCTAAAGATCCCATATCTGATTTAAATTCTCGCAGAATTTTACCATATCCTGTCAGTGTGGTTTGACATATATTGGACAAATCAAAACAGCATTGATATTTCTTGTCAGTGAACATGAATTATATGTTCAAAAAGGAGCAATAAAATGCTGATAGCTAAAGAAAGAACTAAAGAAGAAAAATTTTTGTTAACGTAAAAGCACTCAGGAAAGTACAATTTATTAAATAATGAAGTTGTAAGGATAATTTTTGCAAATCAAACGCCAAGATTTTAATTAAGTGTCCTACTGTGATTAACCTTTAACTGCTGAGCGGTCTGAGAGACCGCTGACGATTTTCTAGCCGTCATTTCCACCCCTAAAAACGGAGAATGCCCCTGTCCTTCCTTCTATCTTCCCAAACCCGTCCCACAAGGTCACATATCCCGTTTCACATTTCTAACTTTATTATGGTTTTAGTTACCACGTTTTTTACTTTTTAAGTTGTCTGGGAGACTGCTCACAGCAGATGGGTACCAGTTTTAGTGGATGACAGACGTTAATTATCAGATGATTGTTTTTCATAAAAAGTGACAAATATGACTTCAAATTTTACAAGAAACATCCCGTATATCTCACTCAAAAAGAAATTGAATACCTTGTCAATAATTTTTCTTATGAAGTATCATGTATATTCACAGCAAAAGTAAATCTGAAGTTTCTGCAGATGAATACGATAATTTTTCTAATGATTGTGAACAAAATGATAATTTTTATGGAAAAAATCACTTGGTGCAGCAAAAAAGAACCAAATCAGGCGGTACAAACACCAAAGCATATCATAATCATTCAGGCCCCTGGTCTCATCTTCTAAAAATAGTCTCTGTAGACCTGGTTTGAAGATACTTGGAATTTACTTTTTGATGATAGAGTAATAAACTTAGACGTGAAATGGACGAATGTAAAATTCAACGAGTAAGGAATGAAGTATTCTGATCCAAATAGGTATGAATTGATGGATACTAATGTATCAAAGCCTTCCTTGGACTTTTAATTTATCCTGCAGTATTCAAATCAAATCATGAAGATGTTGATTGTTTATTTGCTACTGAGGTACAGCACGGGAGGTATTTAGATATGTGATACAGTCAAAAGTCGTTAATTCGGACACCCATAATCGGATGATCTTAAACGGACCTCAAAAAAAAATCTGCGCATAGGTGTTTTATGGCGCCGTAGTAAGCCTTTACGACTGAGCATATAGTGTGCAAGTGAAGATATGTTGTTGCGTGCGCGTTCTTATACACTGGACGTATAAGCTAAATTATCTAAGTCTCTATTTCAGTTAATTTGATGATTGCGTTGTTCATTAATTTCAAATGGCGCCGGTCTATTATTTTTTGCACACTGTAAGAGAAGTTTTAAAAGTAAGCTTAAAATTTTGATTATATCAAATACAATTTCCGATATATATTTGTTTCATATGTAAAGGATCTAAGCAAAGATGTTTTGATGTATCCGGAAATCTGTTATCATTTCACGTGCTCGGCGGGGGGAACGCCGCGATGGCGGCGGATGAACATGAGTTGATCTGTCAGCACTATTCCCTATCTTCAAGGCAGATGTTTTTTTTCTATGTATTTTATTTGGGATTATATACCCAATTCGTTTTCATCTCGATTGCTCATCTTTGATATGATTTAAAACAAGTTCCTCGTCATGATTATTCGCTTCCGATAGCGAAGAAAAAGACAGAGGTTAGTGAAAACGACCAAAATTCGAGCGTGCACAACTTAGTCGGTGTTCTCGACACTAGTCAACATCGGACTGACAGGGAACTTGTAACTGAACAAACTGATTAATAGTTTATAGAATAAGACGAAAGTAGTATCACATGAAACGAAGCAAACTTAAACAATTCATTGAAAGAAATGTTTAATAAAGTAAACAAATAACCTATAAGCGTTTTTTTTTGCCAAATTTGTACCCTTTTAAATAATTGTTGTTTATTCATAAATTACGGTTTCATTTTAATTTTAGAATTTGCATGCCATTTACGAGATTAACTGAGATATAATCGGAAAAATCTGATCCGGAAGCGCCGACGTTCCCGACGAGTCCGGATTAACGACTTTTGACTGTATAGATATGTGATGTATAAAGTGATATAGATGTGTAATATATAAAGTGAGATTTTTATTTTTGTTGACTCTAAAACAAGAAATCAGCATATGGAAACTGACAAAGCAGTTCCAATATTGGAAATACTTTATGCAATCATAAGAAATTTCCAACACATGTATTCTATTGGAGAATTAGCATGTGTTGATGAGATGCTAGTGAAATTTAGAGGACACAGCAAGCATAAAATGTAAATGCCTACAAATATGGCAAAATATGGATTAAATATTATGTGCCTTTGTGATGCAAGGAATAATTATCTTTATAACGCATATATCAACTGTAGAAAAGATTCTGATGGAGATGGGCTTACTGAAGAAGAAGAAAAATGTAGTAAACCCACACAAGCGGTGCTCCGACTGATTGAACCTTTGAAACATACAAATAGAAAAATTACTGCAGACAAATGGTTTTCCTCAATGGAATTAGAGAATAGCCTAAAAGACAGAAAAAGAATAAAAAGGAGATCCTAAAAGAATTTCAAGCAAATAAGGCAAGAGAAATATCTAGTTTCTTGTACAGATTTACAAATGAAATTACGCTTGTTTCTTATGTTCCCAAGAAAAGAAAAGTGGTAATTTTGATTTCATCAATGCACCATAGCTGTGAAAACGATGGTAATACTTACTAACATTCCTTAAAAATGCATAAAAGTATATATTTTTACATGTTTCTTAAAAGCAGTCTGTGAGACAGCGCTCACAGTAATTATGCAAAAAAAAAATTGTTACAGCAGTTAAAGGTTAACTATAAAAAATTTTTTTATTTCTACTTTTTGAAGAAACAATTCTTGTTCTCTGATGAGAAATTTCAATGCTGTTTCAGCGTGGTCAGTATATATCAAACCACATTAACATGATATGCTAAAATTCCATTAGCATTAAAACCAGAGATGGTTATTTTAAGAATTGAACAAAGAGTTTTAGCGATAGGTGAAAAATGATTTGTATTTAAAAATCACCCAAGAAAGAATCAGTGTTTTTCTAGACAAAACAAATACTGGTCTAAGATGTATTCTTCTGAAAGAAATCCCCCCCCCATCTAAATGTAGAAATAAGTTGTTCTAGATCTGATAATGAATACAATTCGAACTTAAGGAGAATTCAGCAATTGAAAGATTACACAGTTTTGGATAAATATAGATAAATTTTACTAAAACATTGTTTCATTTGTCTAGATGTATGCATTATGAACAATACATACTGTCGGCTAAATATATGTGACAGCTAAATGTCTTATCAGCAAAGTGTCCACAACTAGAGGATAGTTGATGCTACCAACTGAAATTGCAGAATCCCAGGCTAGTTAATATATAACTTGGTAGCACAAATCTCCTGAGTTCTTGAATTTGTATGACAACCCACGATAAAATGCTGTTGTACTTGTATCACTGTAGGTAGATTGAATTTCAAATACTTACTGAAATGCCAATGTATATACTATGTCATTAATTTCATCCTACTCTATTAAAGGTTTTGTTGATTGATCATGTACGGGCCTTTTTTCATCTCATATATACTTGCTTCATGCCATAAGTTCAAAGGATATTTATTACTTGGAATTCTAACAGCTCAGTTTGTAGATATGTAAAGTAAGTATACTACTAATTATGAAACTACTAGTGGATAAATTCAGTTCAATATAAACCTTGAGATTATTTTCTAAAAATTGCAATTTGACTTTAAATAGTTACAAATATATCATATAAATTTCTTTAATCATTTGTTCATGATTAAATTAGATTATATGTTGAAACATGACGTTTTAAGAAATGATGATTCATATTCACATTGCACATGGATAACACCACAAAAACTCCTATATAACCAGCCCATTCATCAACAGTCAGCAGCAATTTTACCACTTGACTGGTGGTGGTCACATTATTTCATAAATATATACTCAACATTATAAATAAAAGAATAAAAATTAAAAGCTAAAGCAATATTTCACTCAATGGGCTACTTAATAAATACAATGGATTATTTAATAAAAAAAAAGCACATGAGGGCTATTGTGCAGGCAAGCCTCAACATTATTCAGTGTCAGGTGTGCTAACTGCAACCGCTCAAGGACAACACGAAAAAGATTGCAACAACCGGCTTCTCGCTCTTCTCCTGCTGGCGTTCAAGGGTGTAGGACAAGCTTCGGTCTGTCCTCTCCCTGGCCAATGCGATGTGCCATTTTTCCTGCTTCTTTTGGCTGCTTCCTTCGATGCTGTCTGCTATACATGAAAATCTTTTTTGGTGAGATTTTTACATGAAGATACAAGAAAATAATTACGCCTGTTTCCTGTACATCATTGCAGAAAATAATTTTTGTTCAATTTCTTTCTCCTTTCGAGAACTCTTCCCGCGCACGTGTTTGTGAGATCTGAAACTTCTTGAAAAAGAAGAAAAAGCAGAAATACCACGACTAATCGAATACGCTTAACGACTGCTATCAAAATTTAATTATTCCTTTTACGCCAAGACTTTGTTTTGAGTTGATGCAGAAAGATTAATCCAGTGAACGTTATTTTGGGATGAGCATAATCTTGATTTTCTTCAAATTATTAGTCTGTCGGTGATAATTTATTAGATTAGCTTATTTCACTATCAAAATGAAGAATAAAATATATTCGATTTGGTACATACAGTTGTCATACTGTGGGGTAGTACTTTGATTTCATATTCCATCTAGATCACACATTTGATCTGCACGTCGGAAGTATTTATGGGTTATTGCTAGACAACGCGATTTAATAGTAAGCAATTCATTTTATTGACTTTGTTAATCCTTTAATTCAAAAATCCAGTGACTATTTTGGGTGCTCAAGTAATTTTAATTCACTACACTTAATTCTATTTCATTTTTACATTTAGCACTGAAACACACCATCTAGTATAACAGCTATATCCTTAGCACTATCCGAATTTTGACCAAAAGTTCCCCACAAAAGAATCAGTGTCATTAAAGACAAAACAAATACTGTTCTAAGATGTATTCTTCTGAAAGAAATCCCCCCATCTAAATGTGGAAATAAGTCATTCTAGATCTTTAGCTGAACATTTAAACATCTATTAAAAGACATCAGAAATTACAAGTCAGACAGGTATATAATGAATCCAGTAGTATTAACAATAACCTGGTGCAGTTCAATAAATTAGGTGGTGTACTATTTTTTAATGTATCACAGGCAAAGTCCAATTCTATTATTTCTGGAATTTTGGAAAAAACCTGATTTTTTTTCATAACATTACATTTTAATAAAACAAATTACAATGAGCACACATCAAATTAATACTTCTGAAAATAGCCAGTATTCTAAAAACATAAATAAACATTGGCATTGAACATCACCCATGACAAATCAATGAAGATCAAAACCAACAGGAACTGTTGGTAGTCATCTCAAAAAGACCTCACTACAATTAAATGATTTTTAATAAAACAGATATACATATATATTTGCAGATCATGAAATTTTTACAATACAGTATGTAAGTAAAAAAGTATATTCAGATATGCTTATTAATAAAATTAACTGAACATTTACCTAATGCTTGTTGCAGTTTCTGAAATTCTTCCATTTGCTTATGATAATTACTTTGTTCTATTCTTGATTTCAGCAATTGTAACTCATTTTCCTTCAATTCATGTTGTTCATTTAAAGTATCATACCTGTTAAGGAGAATACAAGTCATATTTCCAACCAGATGCTTTCTACATATGTTAAAAATGACCTTATACATACAAGCATATATGTGTGCATGCGTATGGGTAGCCTAGAGAAATTACTAATTAGTAATAAGTTCATAAAAACAGCAATTAAACTGCGCATTGAAAGCTGCTGTAATTTAGGGATTGGGCAGCTAATGAGCAATTTAATACAAAAATTTATTATTCAAGTGTTATTAAATTATACACCCTTGCTGTTCACAGTTAGTTCAGAAAACAGGCTATAATTTTTACATTTCCCTCCATCAACCTCCAGATGAAGATATTAAGAGAAGTGTAAAAATACTCTTTGATTTCATGATCCTTTGCTTTTTAAGTTCCCCCTCCCATTTATTTGGTTTTCTGCAAAGGTTTAAACACTCCTCCACCTTATCTCCCTTGTCTGAGGTGGTTTCTATATAACATGTTTTAAATCTCCTTACATTATACATACACTCTTTTGCAAAAAAATTGAAGCACCGTGATGGAAGTGGTTGTGTTTGATTAAACTGAATATGTGTATAGCTCATACACAGATAATAAAATGATTAAAAAATCAAGGTCATAGTACCTGTTCACGGCTCAAAATCCACCACTGAGTGTTCAAATTAGTAGTTGTCGACCGCCCTGCCCAATGCATCCTTGATTTTGAGGCAAGGAGTGGTAGGGTTCCTAATGACACCTGCAACAATTCTGCCAGGCATTCCTCGTTGTCGCTCCAGATTTGATATTTTGGTGCTAAGCTGGTGGCCACATGTCCAGACATGCTTGATTGGTGAAAGGTCTGGTAACTTGTGGCCAAGGAAGAGTATAACCGCTGGAGACAGTCCGGAGATATAGCGATATGGCGTAGCATATCTGTTGAAAAAGGCTCAGGATGTGTGCATGAGGGTAACGCAACGCCACCCCGTGGTATCAACTATATGAGCTTAAAGATGTATGGAGGATGACTAAAGATGACCTGTTGTCATAAGAAATAGTGCCCACACCATCACACCAGAGGTTATGGCTGTATGCCTTTGTAAAACAAAGGCTGATTGGGACCGCTGCCCCTCTCCTCTCCAGACACAAACATGGTGGTCATCTGCTTCAAAAGTGAAGCGGGATTCATTGCTGAACACTATACGATGCCAGTCTGATGGCAGCAATGATGATCGGCTGCAACACCACCGCAGATGACTCTGCCGATGTCGTCAAAGGCAAATGTTTTAAAGGGCTCTGTGAGCATAACCTCACCTCAGGCAAGCATTGTGAGATGGTGGACAGTACCACGGGAGGTATAGATGGGGCTGTAGTGCGTTGAATAGTCAACAATGATACCGTTGGGGCGGTTCGGGCCTGCCGAATAATCATCCTATCTTGCTTTGCATTTGTACTCCTTGGCCTTCCAAAGCCTTCATTTCGTCGGCAATTTCCTTGTAGCAACTGTTGCTGCCAACACCTTTGCACAGCTGTGTCTGTACAATGCAGATGATGGCCTAATGCTCAGCTTCAGCAAACCTGCAATGCGACTAAGTTCAAAGTTCTGTAAGGTCTTCGATATCATCGTAATGGCATCTTTAGTTACTTCTTTACGGAATTACAATGGCAGCAAGAAAAAAAAAAAAAGATTAATTTTCCGCCTCTGCTACAGGTTTTATACTATACAGGTGCACTAGAAATGTGCGCTATGATCGCAATTCCTGTTCATTCGCCTTGAAACTTTGATCATTTGCATGTTCGATCAAGATATTTTCACATACCAAATTTCGTCACAATCGCAAAAGTTTTTCTTGGTGCTTCGATTTTTTTTTGCAAAAGAGTGTATATATACATACAGATTTTAATTAAAACTATACATTCTGGAGAATTGTTTAAACTACTAAAGAAAAAGCACAGAGTAGACAGATGTAGCTCTTTGACCATAATTGCACTTTATTTTTCATAGACAAAGGTACACTAGTATATAGAATGGATTTTGCTATATATGAAAATGATAGGCACTCCCAAATCATACAGGCAAAAGATTGCCATTATATGAGGAGGCTGTTGATCACCCAAAAATGGAGAACACTGCATCAAATTAAATCCCAGTTTAATGCCACAGCTATTCCAGCTTTCAGTTATGCACCAAAAATTGCATTGTATGGGGTGTAACAGCCGTTAGCTATCTGATTTCACTGTTAATACTATAGCATCAGGTAATGGATTTAACCTGAGCCACAGAACATTAGTAGACTGCCAACATAGGTAAGGAAACTAATCAAATGAATATTGTTTTACACTATTTTGAAAAAACAGACACAATTCTATGATAAGATGATCACATGTTGTATTGATTTAATGCACCAGCAGGCTATGTGCAAGCTAATGATGGCTATAGACTAGTAAAGGAAAGAATTCTGATAAAACAATGGTTCTCAACCTTTTTCTGTTTTGCCCCACATCCCCTTTCATCGCTGTTAGATAATCATTCCCCTCCCCCTCTTTTCCAAACACAAAAATTGCATATACATATATTTAAATTTTTATTATTTTTATACAGAAAATGTTAATAAATTTAAAAAGTATTTAAAAGTATATAAAAATAGTTTTCACATTCATAAACTAAACACTTAAGAGCTAAACAAAAGGCTGACTATATGCCCCCTCTCTGAAACTGTAAAATTCCTTCCTGAATGAGAACCCCCTATGTTACAGCATACAAGGGCTTCAGATATAATTGTTTGGGAAAAAAAAATCACTCAGATCACATAGGACGATATTTGTTGTAACGCACTTGTGACTTTCAGCAAACAAGGCTGCATCATAAAAAGCTAAAAAAAACTATTGGCATATTTTTAGAATAATTTTGACGCCTCATTAATTTAGTGCGACATTAAGTAACAATATGCTAAGTCTGCTTAATGTTTTAGTGCTTTTATTTGCATTAAATTTGACATTTCTTAACTTAAGTGACAGAAATAAAATTCTACCTTTCTTTCACTTGTCTGAAATTATGGATTTCTTTTTGAAGTTTGGTTAATTCATTTTGCTTTTCCATTATTTCCTTCTTCAATCTAGTTACAGGAGCCAGTGATGCCAGCAGTTTACCTTTATTGCCCGTGGAACCTAAAAATAATTTTTTCTTTAAAAAAAATTAAGAAAATGTCTAAATTTATCTTATATGCATAAGGAAACAATTATACTTCCCTCAATTACAGCAAGCATAAAAATATCACTAAACAATTAGTATTATAAAACTGTTTTCTTAATGCCAAGCACCGACATGAACAAAAGCAAGCATTTCAAAAAACTGTTTAACAACTGCTCAAAATGATGTTAATGTAACATTTAATTGGATTCTAGGTAACTGTTAATAAAAATATATGAATAATGTTGAATCAGTGTAGATGATTTTTAAATTCATAAATTAAAACAATTATAAACCAAAATATTATACCACCTTAAAAATTTATTACACTTACATATAATAATACACATGATTTCACTTTCCAACAAAAAATTTAATAATAAATCTAATAATAAATAACATTAATCTAATAATAAATAACAGATTAACCTTTTGAAGACGGGATGGCCATTATAGTGGCCATAGAGTCCTCTCTTTGAAAAGACGGGGTTGTCCACTTTAGTGGTCCTTGTGGTTTTAACCACTTATCTCTTTCAAAGGTCTTCCTTTTGCGACACAGAAGCATCCCTCTGAGAATCCATTAAACTGCACACAAGAATCTTTGTTGCAAATAGGAGGTGATTTCTTAAAGGGGGGGAAAGCATTCAGTTCAAGATTTCCCGTCCTTTCATAGCTTTTACTGCTACCAAATCCCCGGCCTTAAAAGGTTAAACAAGAGTTTCTTAAACAGTGGGTGATGACCCCCATGGAGGGTCACGGAACCTGCAGCAGGGGTCACCACAAATTTTAGCAGTTTTGATATTTCTTTAACTTATAATAATTTTACAATTACCAAATATTTTTACACAATATATCTGTAAATAGATAAATAGAAGACAATACAGTGACTCCATGTGGGTGATGACCCCCATGGAAGATCACGGAACCTGCGGCAATGGTCGCCACAAATTTTAGCAGTTTTGATATTTCTTTAACTTATAATAATTTTACAATTATCAAATATTTTTACACAATGTATCTGAAAATAGATAAATATAAGACGATACAGACTAAGAAAAAATGAAAACGTTTCAACGCATTCTTTTTATAATAAAAACATTAATTTTACTTGCTTTGCAAGTGGCACTGCCATTTCATCAAAGGCCTTGCGTATGCAAGATCGAGTAATTTGGTAATGCATGTGCGTTGGGCCATCTTTGATTTCATCATTGCCTTCAGTTGTCTCGCCATTGTGTCTGCTATGCGGATCATTTTCACATGTTTGAGTGCCCCTTCACTCCGAATATATATATATATATAAGGTGAGGTGATATTGTCCCATTAAAACAGGAACTCCGACACTTTTGTCATCATTGTTTCGTTCATTTAATCAGCAAGTAAGTTATAGTTATTTTACTTTAAATAAGGCCCCCTAGTTTTCTCAACAATAATTATTATCAAATATTTTTTACAAATCATGGGTAAGTGGTTGAGTTTAGGTAAACGAGATTAAAAAACTGAAAACAATGAGAATTATCTCCGGTACCTAGCATGAGCACCTAGCATGAGCACAGTTAAAATACAAAAAAAAAAAAAAAAAAAAAAAAAACGAAAATATGACACATCATATTTGGAATTTGGTTTTACTTCTTGTAATTATGATGGAATTGAAAAGCCATTATGCTTTATTCCGCACTGCAAGAAACCCAAACAATACTTTGAACGACTTTTGAAATCATCAAATCAGCAAAAATTTGGCTTTGAGAACTTTGTTAAAATGAATGAAAAGTATTTACTTGCATCTTATTTAATCACACACACACACACACACACACACACACACACAAAAAAAAAAAAAAAAAAAAAAAAAAAAAAAAAAAAAAAAAAAAAAAAAAAAAAAAAAAGGGCCTAGTCAGTTGGAGAAAATCTAATATTACCCGCTGCTATTAAGATGTCCGGAATAATTCGTGGCAAAAAGTACACGGATGAAATCTGTAAAATTCCATTATCCAACAATATTGTTTCAAAGCGAATTTCAGAAATTAATAAAGATCAACATCAGCAGCTAATAACTAGGCTCAAAATGAGTCCTAAGTTTGCACTCCAGTTGGATGAATCAACTGATATTACCAACTTGTCTCAATTATTAGTGTTATGTTAAGATATATTTTTGAAGGAGGTATTCATGAGAAATTTTTGTTTTGTCACTTTTTAGATAGACACACAAGAAAAGAGGACATTTTTTTAAAAGTTGATAAATTTTTCATTAAAGAAAATTTGAAATGGAAAAGTTGTTGGCATTTGCACAGACGGTACTCAAACGATGGTCGATGAAACAATTGGAATTCTATCCAAAGTTAAGAATAGTGGCAATGAACATATAACATTTACTCATTGTATGATACATCGAGAGGTCCTGGCGGCCAAAAAAATATCAGCGGAGTTAGATGCTGTGCTTCGAGATAGTGTTAAAGCGCTTAACTTTATTAATTATTCCCGGTGAAGGCGTTTGCTATTTTTCATCTTTCCTGCTTCCAAAAGTATATCTAATGTCTCTACAAGGTTATTAAAATTAAAAGGAGTTCTTTTCTTTCTAACCAAACAAAAATCTGATTTTGCGAATTTATTCCATAATAAGTTGTGGCTACAAAAACTGTGTTATTTGAGTGGCATATTTGAAAAACTAAATGAACTACATTTGTTGCTTCAAGGAAAAGGTTGTAGCATATTCATATTCAAATAAAAAACTGATGCTTTTATTAAGAAAATTACCATATGGAGAACCATGGTAGAAAAGGGTTCATTAGAAATGTTTGTCACAACAAGTGAATTTTTAAATGAAAATGATGAAACAGATAATAAAAAAGATGACTTGTTAAAAGTGATAAATGAACATCTTCTCAAAGTCTTGAGAAAAACTTTGAGAAATATTTCCCTTAAGTTTAGTGCCGAAGAATTAATATTGATTGTGAAACCATTTGGAATTAATGTGGAAAATATAAACTCATTTGCCATTAAAATAACAAGAACTTGCCGATTTATCAAATAATTCGGGGTTGAAACTTGATTTTAATAGGAAGTCCCTAGAAGATTTTTAGCTAGGAATCGCAAAAGAATTTCCTATGATTTCTGAAACTGCCATAAACTTTCTTTTACCTTTTTGTATAACATATTTGTGTGAGACAACATTTTCGTCTCTAACCACCATAAAATCAAAGTGTCGATCATATGTAAAGAATATTGAAGAAGTGCTTTGTCTTGCCGTGTTGACTATTTTGCCCCAAGATTTGACAATTTAATTAAAAATACACAGTCACAGCCTTCCCATTGATATTTAATCCTTGCATATGCACTGTTAGAAGTAGTGGGTTTTCTCAGAAGTCACCTTCCAAGTGGCTACACTGAATGGACAGACTACCTTAGCAATTGAATTTATTTTTATAATTGAGTTATAATTTTTATAATTGAGTTTAATAAAAGACGGGGTTGTCCACTTTAGTGGTCTTGTGGTTTTAATCACTTATGTTTACTAACACTTATGTCTTAAGTTTGTTACTTATTTAAAATTTTCACATTGCTCTATGTCATAATATTAGAAATTAATGACCTAAAACTGCGATAGTATACAGTCAAAAGTCTTTAATCCGAACTCGTCGGGACTTCGGCGATTCTGGATTATTGGTTTTTCCGGATTATAGATCATAAGTTTAAATCTGGTAAGATGGCATGCAGAAATTATAAAATTAAAAATATGAAACCGTAATTTATGAAATAAAGAGGTTATTATCTAAAGGGTATCAATCTAAAATTATGATCTAAAGGGTATCAAATCTAAAATTATGATCTAAAGTGTATCAAATTTTACCCCCCCCCCCAAAAAAAAAAAAAAAAAAAAAAAAAGCTTAATATTTATTTGTTTATTAAACATTTCTTTCAACGCGTGCATGCAAAAAGCCTACATTACGCATAGTCGAAATAAGAAAATTGCGACCAGAAAATTATTTGATGTGTATTCGTGATATTTAAAATGACTAGGAATTTGATTTAAATCATATCAAAGACTGAGCACATAGAGATGAAATACTACATTTAGTAAGGAATTATAAGCCGAATAAAATAAAAACATCTGCCCTGAAAATAAGGATAGTGCTGAAAGATCAACTTCAGTTCATTGCGAACGCAATGTCTCCCCCACCCCCCGCCGAGCAGCGTGAAATTGATAAAACAGATTTTGGAATGGTTAGAGAAAACAAAGGATATGCCTTATCCATTTTTTTTGCAGCAATTCACCTTTGTTTGATGGACACGAAACATGCTTTGCTTTGTAGATCCTTAGCAGCTCCGAATCGGCAATTCTTTTGACATAATAGAAAACTTTATAAAATGCTTTAACAGTTGCAAAACATATAAGCCGAATCAATTAGAAGATTAAGGACAATGCAATCTGCACATTAATGAAATAGAAAATTAGATAATTTAATTAGCTTATACCATACGCTATACATTAAACACGATGCGTAAACGTATTGTGCATCGTAAAGGTATACGCGCAGGGTAGAGATTTGAGTTTACGCATGAGAGAAGTTTGTAGCTTGAGGTCCGGCTATAGACATCCGGATTAGGACATCCGGATTAAGACTTTTCACTGGATTATAGTACAAGTGAAAAATTTGACAGTATCACTCATGCATGTGTCAGATTTGCACAATGCTTATGGGGTCTCACAAAATTTTCATAAATATTATGGGGTCCTGGGGTCGCAAAAAAAAAAAAAAAAATCTTAGTGATAAAATGGGGTTCAGTGATAAAATGGGGTAAGAAAAGTTTAAGAAGTCCAAGATTGAACAATGGGGGAAACATTATCTGCCAACTACAAAAACACTAATAAAGCACTAACTGTGTAAAACTGATTTTAGAAAAGTTTACTATTGTCACATTAAAAAAATTATTTCTCAGTTGTTAAGGCAATTATTTCCATCGGACATGAGACATATAACAAATTATTAAGTTCTGACATGTTCACTGTTGCTTAAAAATAAGTAATTTGAACTTATGTAACAAAGAATATTCTGATTATTTTTAATTTTTTTACCCATAACTTCTACTGTAAACTGCAGCAAGATTTGAAAAGCATTACCTGAATCCCAAACAACTAATGCAACAATCTATTAGTATACATTAAAGAAAAAAAATTTTAGTGAAAATATAAATATTGATTTCAGGTACATGATATGATACATAAGTAGAACACATTTTACCCCCAGATAATGTTCCTGAAGGATCAAACACCTCCCCCTCTAATGTTACGCATCTTTTCTGGATATTATTAGCAAAGGCTACTTTTTTGGCATATTCCATATCAGGGCAAACAAAAGTTCCACCAAAAACATATTCCATTGCAGGAGTAAGATCTTTAGTAAAGTCAACACGTGATAATGCAGTTACAGCATTCCTTGGTCCAACCTAAAAATGCAATAAATACATAATACAAGTATTAAGAGAACAGCCTTAGATTACTATATTACATCAGTTATAAATTAGACCACTAAAAAAATGATAACTTTTGGTTTTAGTTAGAATTTCTCAAATATACTCTTTCTTTCCATGGATTAGTTCTCCAGAATGAATTTAGAAATACTGACTATTTTATGATTACATGCATGAAAATTAAAAACGGGAGGGGGGGGAACTGTACAAACTTATATATATTTGCAGTTAAATTTGTGAAACAGTAATACAAAAGTAAGTATTAGAAATAGAAGAGGGGGCTTTTCCCTCAAAATTTTGAAACTTGCATTCAAAATAAATTTTTGTGGATTTTTGTAATAATTTCTTAAAAGAATGAAAGCATCAACACTTTTGTAAGCAACACTTATTCTTAGTTTAATAACAAACATCAGGATTGAAGAATTCCCCTCCCCTGCTTCAACAGAGAGCTGAAATGAATTTTAGAAAATCCATAATGTGCATAATATTGAAAGCTCTATTCTCAAATACCCTAAAAAATAATTTTCCATTCTCAGCCTTATCTCAAATACTCTATAAAAGCTATTTTTTTAAACTATGCTTAAGCAGTGTTTTTGATTTTGAGAAAAAGATTATCAAGATTTTTATTTAATTAAATCACCAACTCTAAATTGTCTCTCAGTGCCATTACATTTATATGTTGTATGGAGGATATGCTGAAGTTTGGTATAAGGCTATGTAAAGTGAATATGCCCTGGTTAAAAATGGTACATGAAATTAGTAAAATGAGACCTTATTCTGTATCAACTAAATTTTTTAATGGCTTATGCTAACAGAGATTTAAAAGAGGAAATTTTAATGGAACAAGTAAAATGTTTTGAAGGTTTGAAATAAAGTGGAAGACAACAGTATGAAAAATTAGACAAAAAATTCAAAAATTTTGGATTGCAACCATAATAACCAGGTAAGTGTGTTTACAAGATTAAACAAATCAAATTAATTTAATTAATTTGATTTGTTTAGTTAATTCTAATTAATTTGTTGAGTTAATTCTAATTTTATATGTAGAAGACTTAATAACAGCAACAAATAACTGTGATTTATATTCTGACCTTAATTAAAGATTACCTTTCTAAGGAATTTCATGTTAAAAATGAAGGCAAAATTCATAACTGTTTTGGAACAGAATTTAATCAAGATGTAAATAACAATTCTATTAGTTTATCTCAGCAGAAATATGTTGATAACAGTTTACAAAGATTTAAAACACCTTTGTAAAATTGACAAAACCAAGCTCTCGGTGTAAAATTAAGTAAAGAAATATGTTCTCCTGAATGTGTTTTGGTTTGATTTGATTCGTTTGATTACGACAAAGCACTCGAGAGCTATCTGCCTAAGGGGAAGGATGCCTTTATGGAGGACTTTCTAAGGGAAACTTACATATATACACATCACACACGGGAAAAAACATGAAAATTTCCATGAAACAAGCCTGATCGTCGTATCTGAACCTCAGACCGAACTACCAGCAATTTTACCACTTGGACAGCTGCTGGAGGGGTTTCCCTTCTAAAAATGAAAAGGAAGAAATGAACAATATACCTTATCACTATCTAAATGGTTCACTTATGTGTCTTTCTATGTTTACTAGGCTAGATATTACATCACTATTAAGTCATAAGAGAAAATATTTTTCTTTAACGACCCCAAATTGGCAAATTTTCAAAAATTGCTTATTCTAATGTCATAAGCTGTGCACATCTTTCATCCTCTACTGTATAAATTAAAAATATTAGACATAAAAAAATAACAAACCAGAGCCTGGGCATTTTGAACTATCTTATTGTCAATTGGACGACCAATAATTTTATTCAGAGGGATAAAAGTGCATCTTCGTTTTAATTGTCCTCGGTCCAGCAATAATTTCCCAGTTAGTTCATCATCCACAATTATATTATAAAGCTGTAATATATACATATTTCATTATAAAAAATATAAAAAAGTGAATAGTGACATCACTAATAATAAACAGCAGTAATAATAATAATAATAATAATAATAATAATAAATCAGTGTTTTAAACCCATAATTTATCTAATATTTTTTTAAACATTTAGCAGCAATTTGCTGACACTAAATGGATATGATGTGCTTTTGGGAAGTAAAGCATGTTTAAGTATTCTTCTAAGCTATTCCATCCTATTTACCAGGGTTTGTACACATTTCTGAACACAGAAATTATGTACTTTTAAGGACTTTTAATGAAAAAAAATTAAGGACCTATGAGCAAATGGGAACTGAATAATTTCAATTAAAAATATTATCTATGCCTGAATTTCACTTTTGTAATACCATCCTAAAAATAAAATAGATCCATATGTTGGCTACATTATTATTAAACAAATTAATTAGCATAGTTATTAATAAGTTTGAGAATAAATAAACTTTATGAAATTTATCAAATAGCATTAAATATTTTACACTCATAATAGTTGGACATATTTGAAAAAAGATAAGTGACATTTTATTTTTGTTTTACTAACAGTTAGCTTTGTGTTGATTTTTTTTATGTCTCGTTTTATCACAAACTTTCCCAGTTTAACAAATAGCAGGTAGATTTTATGCCAAGCACCATAGGTTAAAATGAGAAGTAAAGTCAAAATCAGCATGATTCATAACAAAAGACTGGCTGCTGTCACCGCCGTTGCTTGCCTAGAGAGAGATCTGCTGATCAGAACAAACCTGAAAGGCCTGATGTAGACATGGTTAGGAAGTTTTGAAAGTTAGTTGGGCTCTGTCTGACACAGTTAGTGTCATAGCTTTGTGTAGTGTTTCAGGGCTTGTAATCCAGTTAATATACTTTAAGTTAAAGCAACTAAAGCACCAGAGATGATGAAATATTTTGTATTATTTTAAGCCTCCCTTTGGTCTGAATATGGAAACCACTAGTTTCTGCGTGCTTTATCTTCTAACTTGTCAACCTCTCCACAATGTACTTGTGAGGGTTTACTTAATCTGGTAAAAGTTAAGAGTCCAAAACTCCCCAACATACGTGAAGCAAATTATTACATGTCTGAAAGTAACTATAAAGTCAGACATAGGTTTAAATAAGCCTCTTATTTAAAAAAGAACTTAGAACATAAAGGCATGTTCTGATGCTAACAAAATCAATTGCAGTTCGTGGTGATGTAATTACAGACCATAAATTTAATTTTAATTTAAGCTGGCTCAGTAACTCTATCGCCATAACAAGCTTTAATGTTGGCATCGTTAATGAAAAGAAGAATAATTACAAATTATCAAAGCTGGTAGGAACTAACGCAGCAAGCAAATGGAGGTCAGAAACACACACTGTCTTGCACTCCAAAAACCTCGGTTTAAAAACTGTCTAAGTGATTTGCATTCTGGTGAGGAAATATAAATGAGAAATTATAGTAAAGACTGAAATTATAAACAACTGGGTAATTTACATAATAATAACTGTACATATCGTTGAAGAATAATTTTCTTCCTCTTCATGTATTCATTTTCTTCTTCAACACATTTCGTTTTCATTTTAGAATTTTTGGATTTAGTTAAAGATTTCTGTTATTCTAAAAAAAAAAAAAAAAAAAAAAAAACTAAATGCATTTAGAAAGTATAGAAAAGGCTGTAAATTTTATTTTAGTATTATGAACATTCAGAAGAAATATGAAATATATATGGTAAGGGCTGGTGTGGCTGAATTTTTTTAATTCAGTGACACGTGCAGCAAAATCTAGAAATGGGAAAACTTTTAGAATTTAGAGCAGGCACTGGAAGCAGAATTTAGAAAAGCACTAAACAGCTAAATTTAGAATCCACAGAGATTGCATCAGTTGGGAAAATGCCTATCTCCAGCCCTGTGTTTGATGAATTAAGACATATTAGATGAATCTTTTAAATTGTCAGTTTTCAATTTCTTTATTAATAAAAAAATTCCTTTCTATAATGCCTGTTCAGGTGATAAGTTTAGAAGCATTTCTGACATTTCCATGCTTGTGTCTAGTGAAAAGTAGAGAAAATAAAGGGAAGATAAACAAGCTAAGAAAAAGATTCTAGTATCAAAAGTAAAACATTCAAATATTATGTTTTCATTGTTCTTGCAGACACTCTCCAAAAAGTAAGAAATTCATCGCAAACTTTCTGTAAAATACATCCATTACATGTTAATATCATGGACACATTTCTTATTTTGTCACATTTTTCTGGCATCTTCTAGAATTGTGTGTCTATAAATCTTGCCTTCAAATCCTTCTAAATATTTTAAAACTGCAATGTCTAAAATTCTAAAGAAAAATTACCCCTAATAATTCTGTAACAGTAAAAAGCCAGAAATATTTTGGCAAAAAAAAAACAGACTTGAAAATGTGTAAAATTAATTTTACAGAGAAAAATGATGCATATTCTCAAAATTCTGAATATTCTTAGATAATTACAGGGAAAAAACTCTTACTATAAAAAAGAATTCAAAAGAAGACATTTTTAATTAATTACATAGCTATTTTCCTTTTGCTAAGAGCTGTTTTGTAAATTGTGCTTAGCATTATATCTTGTTTATTTTTCATATTCAAAATATCATACAATAGGCAGAGAAAATGGAACTTTATATAATATGACAGCAAAAAATAAAAATGTTTTATTTTAATGTTTTTTAATATAATTTCAATATATTACCATTATTTTAATAAAATTTATCAATGTTACAATGTTTTTTAAAAAAATGTCGAAAAATTCCCAGATCTCGGAATTAAATTTTTTTTAGAGAAACTGGTCTTAAAATCGTGAAAATGTTCATAAGTTGTTAAATTTAGAACCGTTTTATAAAAGAATTCACATCCCTAAAAGCGAAAAGTTGTTTAAGAGCTCTTTATTAGAAGAATTGAAATGATTTCGAAATGCTTATGTTTTACTTCTCGCTCAGAAACTCGAGTATCCCATTATTTATATTAGAAATAGGAACAAATTATAACCCATGAACCCATTCAAAAGATAACCATATTTGTCAGTGAATCACCAAAAATATTCCTCCAAAATGCTAATTCACACTCAAAATGGCAATCGTAAAAACAGACAGAAATTTCAGATAATTAAATTAAGGACCTTCTGCTGATTTTGGCCGAAATTAAGGACTTTTAAGGAGTCTTAAGGACCATACAAATTCTGTTACATATAAAAAGTATGACCTTGAAAAATATTTCTGAATATTTTTAATTAGTGTATTTATTTTTGAAAACTAATTTCTTGCAGCCAAATAAAATCAATTATTAATAATGGAATTTAAAATATGTTACAGCAAGCAATTCTCTTTTGATACAAGATATTATATAATTATGTAGCAAGGTAAATAAGAAGTTGCAAAAATATTAAAACTAGGACCCGAATCAGTGGCAGCTCTTCCATCTGTGCACATGAGCAAGTGAACCCTCCCCCCCCCAAAAAAGAAGAACTAAATTTATTAACAAATTAAATAAAATAATATCACATACACTTCTTGTTTTTTTGTCAATTTCCTGGTTGAGTTTCTCATCCTTCTTTTAAAATACACTAACATGTAGCTAATGTACCATTCATTACTATAGCATAGAGCATTTGGCTTTTCCTCGATCACAGGTACAATAAAAGAAATTCCCTTGAAAACTAGTTTATGGGAACTAAGAAGTTGACAGAAGAGTGGGAAAGGAAAAGTACCACTGATACCATCACATCTGCACATCTTCAGTGTGTGGCAGCTGATATTTTTTGCAGTTATCTCGCCCAAATTATCCCTTAGTTTGCTATATTTAGTTTATTCATTTTTCCATTTCCCCCCTTTTTTATTGTTATCCTTTTTATACATATTTTTTACGAACAAGTATAAGCAGTTAAGATGGCACTTAGTAAAATAAGTGTTTTGGAACAAAAGCAATTAGATTTTTCAACATTGTCTTTGAAAAGAAAAATTTAAATGAAATTAATCACGCCGACACCTTTCCTAAACTTTACACCCACGTGACAAAAAATAAAACTAGAGAAATGTTCATAGATTAGTGGAAGCAAATCAACTAATAGGATGTTTTGTTTTCCATGTCTCTTGTTTGCAAAACAGTATGGTGCTTCAGGTTGGGTGAGTTACAGTGGAGGTGATTTGCTAGGAAAGGTGGATATTTGCTTACAATTTAACAGTGCATTTCACTTAAATGCTGAAAGACACGCTGAGGAGGCTCCCAAAAATCTCTACATTCTAACAAAAATTATTCATTGCATTCTATTTTGTGGTGTATTTAACATGATAAATGCGAGTTTTCATTAAATCTGGGAGTTTTGGGAGATCTTATCAACTTCTCAGTAGAACTTGATTTGTCTCTTAAAGACCATAAAGACCATTTCTCTAGAGTCAATGTTTTTAAAGGAAAACCAAAAGAAATTCAAAATAATTTATTAGACTGCATGCTTACTGTTTGTCAGAAATGCATGAAAAATGAGATCTCAAAAGCAAGTTCTGTTTCAGTAATAACAGATGAAATTACTGATGTGTCATCTATTTCCCAAGTGGTTGCTGTTTTTCGTTTTTTTTATGTTTTAAGTAACTGATAACCGGCTGAGAGATTCTGTAAATTCATGTATCCATCTAGCCATGAAGCAAAATCTATAGCTGATTACATCCAAGCAAGTTTAGGAGAAGATTAGAGGCAAACCTGAGAAATTAACTTTGCAGATTTACAATGGTGCAAGCTGATGTTCCAGTTTTTATTCAATGTCCATACAAGAATGCACAATTTGTGCAATGCTATGCACAACAGTTCAATTTGATTGTTGGGAAAGCAACCAGTCAGAATCAGCAGGTTCGAGTATTTTTTTCCAAACTGAACTTATTACCTTATTACTAATTTTTTCAGTAATTCTCAATACTGTCATGAAACTGTTAGAAAAAGGATACCCCATAGTTCGGTTATTGGATGGAATTTTAAAGTCGAACCACCAGCACAGTGTTA